CAATTGCGTGCACTATCCCCATCACCACTAATCCCAGCAGCGTTGGGAGTAGTGGTATATGACAAATTGACACAGCTTTGTTCAGCTAATTTGAATTGCGTAACAGGACTTCAAAATCAAGTTACAATTTTTTTAAATATTACATTACCAGAATCAATGATCTGAGCACGAATATCAAAACAACTCATTTTTTTCACATTTATTGATTCCGTTTAGGTTTTCAAAAAATCTTTAGGCTATAATATATAATAATAAATTGTTATCTTTTTTGTGTGTGTGTGATACTATTGCGGGTCGTTAAAATTGCTACTGGCCCCAAAAATTATTGTCTTCTTTGTCATGCAGATTGATCGTATCGATAAACTTTTATTTTTAAATTTTTGATTTATATATTTTGGACTTTGTCCTTTATATATTATTATTTACTTTATAAGTACATTACGAAGATAATTATGATAACTAGTAAAAATATTGTATGTTTCAGATTAAAAAGTGGGATGACAGAAAAAAAATATGTAGTGTCATATTATATATATCATATAACTTATGCTGCTCACAAAAACGACATTGTAGGTTTTGTCGATTTAAATGGTAAAATCAATGAATTTGCAGATCATACCCCCGTATACATGCTACGAGGTATTTTTTTCTAATTTTAGCTCTATATCCAGATGGAAGTCCTATAAGTAAAACGTTGAAAAATACAGCAGCAGCGGTATCGTTTTTTGACGACTTGTTTGATAGTGTCAATGGAGCGAGCACAAATGAGAAAATATCGAAAGGAAAAATCTGCGCAAGGTAGTAACACTTAAATCAGCCTATAACGAGTTTTGGAACAAAGCCATTAAAATATTGGAAGGTATAAAATTTATATGCAAAGATGGCACACTAAAAAGTGTACCTTCCTTAAAAAATCACTCTAAAAAGTTTAAAAGGGGTGTGGGAGTTATTGGCCTCAAAAAACATCAAAATTATGAGGTCTAGATACTTCAATTCTGACATAATAGAAAACTTTTTTGGCCAAGTACGAGCATACAATTACCGGAGTAATGACCCAACTGCTTATACATTCATAAATACATTCAAATCATTATTGGTAACAAGATTTATAAACTTTCATTCGGAGAGTTACAATTGCGAGGAAGATGTCAGTCAAAGGGTATTAGATATACAGTCCCTTTTTGAGAATGTAAACATTGCACCATCATCTGATCCAAAATCACAAGGCACACCTGTGTGTAAAACTGTAGAATTTGCTGTAGAAAATATTCAAGAACAGGCAAGACGAGAAAGGATTAATATACACTCAAGGACATATACGGCTGTATGGGTAACCAGAAAATGCAAACGTAGTTTGCTGTCGGAAGATAGCAATATTCATGATTTTGCTAAACAAAAAGAATATAAACAAAAAAAAAACTAGAAAATTAATATATCCATTCGAAAATTTTGTAAGAAGTTTTGGAAATGTAATAAAACAACAAATGAATATTTGGTACAACATGGATAATGGATATCAAAATAACATTAGTGAAAGAATAAAAAAGGAAATAAGTTCCAAATATTCATTTTCATTTCTCGATTGCCAGTTACACAAAGATATAGTTCTTGAATTTTTTTGGAAAATATCCATTAAGCTCTGCATATTTAATTGGTGCACTGTAATCAATAAATTGTTAAAAGGGACCGATGTAATGAGAGCTGAAAAATTTAATTTACTGCCAATGCAAAAAAAAAAGCTCTAAATAAGAACAAGAACAAAATTGAAAAATAAAAACTTAAATAAATAATTATGTACACAAACGCTGTTTTATTTATTATACCTGCAATACATTTTAAAATATTAAATTAATTGGAAATACTTCGCTACGCTGCTGTAATAATATTTGGCTGTATGTACAGTGCAAAAAATATAAAATGTTTGTGTCCTTGAATAAGGATGACAATATAGTAAAGTGTAAAGGTGTATGTGAGGTGGTTTTTCACAAGAAATGCATGCAATCCAATAAAGAATTTCTGCATACGTCATTCTGCGATGAGTGTCGAAAAACCAGCCCTTTGCAGCCAGCACAGGACTCAAAACTATCGATAAACCCTAGTGAACTATCCGGTGAGAAGGTATTAGCTGAAGTGAACAAAAAGTTAGAAGTTATTTACAATATGGAGAAAAAAATTGAAGACCTTTCTACTAACGTAGAATTTTACGCCGAAATGTATCAAACCTTAATAACATTCAAGGAAGAATCGCAAAACCGAATCAAGTCATTAGAACAGAAAAATATCTACTTAGAGAAGTGCAATAAAGCGTTGGAAGAACGGGTGCGGGAGCTGGAGATTAAAGAAAGAGAGAAAAATGTAGAAATTCACGGGCTGGAAATGCACAAGGACGAGAATATTACGTCTGTAATTAAAGAAATAGTTTGTAAGCTAAACTTAAATCCGGTTGATATCGAAGAAGCACAGAGGGTAGGTCAAGAAAAAGTTAGTGATAAAAAGATTAAAACCGTCGTGGTTAAATTGCGATCTAAAAGCGCCCGTAATAGCTGGATGTTAGTCAAAAAAACAATATAAATTAACAAATAAGAAAATTTATGGAAATGGCATCGAAAACCCCGTATTTGTTAATGAGGATTTGCCAAAATACAGAAATAAACTAAAACCAAAAGGCTATCAATATATTTGGGTCCAAAACAACAACATCCTAGTAAAAAAGAGCAGCGAAGAAAAGAAGATCTACAACATAAAATCGGAAGATGACCTAAATAAATTCGAAGATTATAACTAATAAATAAATGCGATGCGCTCATAGTACGCGCGGAGCGGCGAATACACACTAAGTGCATTTAACACCAACGTTCACCCAAACGGATATATTTTTTCAGACATTATATATAAAAGATATAATGATATTTCAGATCTGAGTAATGATTTCACACAAAATATAAATAATATTCAAATTCTTCATCTGAATATCAGGTCACTTCGGAAACATTTTAATGAATTACTAGTTTTATTGGAAGAACATAAATACAGGACAGATATATTAATATTAAGCGAAGTAAATATTAGAAAAGAAGAGCTATCGTTATATCAAATAACAGGATTTAACTCCTTTATAATATCAAGGGAAACTACCAGAGGGGGAGGGATATTAATCTATGCCCGTGATAAACTTAGCTTCGATGCTCGGGGAGTTCCTACAGAGGCCTTAGAAATGCTACACGGACAGCTAAAAATAGGAAACAAGACAACTCATGTTATCGCCATGTATAGACCACCACAAAATAAATTATTCTTCATACATCAATTGGAGACCACGTTAAAATCTATTCCAACATCTGATAATGTAATATTGATTGGTGACACAAATATAGATATTCCAAACGATAAAATTAATCCAACAACAACGAAGTACAAAAACACTCTGTGTGCCTACGGCCTATTGTATTCCATACCGAGTACAGAGATAACACGTGAGGCGGTTGTGGATGGACGGAACGAGACATCGTGCTTAGATCACCTGTGGGTTCGTGCGGGACGGAACGAGTGTGAGCCGTCATCGTTGGTGCTCGAGACGAAAATCTCCGATCACCATGCGATTGGAATAGTAGTAAATTTAAGTGATAACTGCAATATAATGACTCAAACTAGTAGGGACAATAGTATGCGGAAATTATTTAATGAAAATTTTATAAAACAAAGGCTAGACTCGTATAACTGGGCGCAATTATCGGATATAACATGTCCACTTGTGTTATTTCAAACATTATGTACCGTGTTTGATAGGATATACAGGGAAAGTACAACTGTAGTAACAACTTGTATTAAAAGTTTAATAAGACAACCATGGATAGATAGATATTTATATAAAATGATATTAAGACGAGACTATTTGTTTAGAGTGTGGAAATGTGAACCAAAAAATATGAATAAGCGATTAGAATATACAAAATTTAGAAATAAAGTAAATAAAACTATAATTAAGGCTAAAAATAAATATAGACAGATGGAAATAAAAAAATGTAATGGGGACTTCAAGAAAATATGGGCAAAAATAAACCAGTGGCTGGGGCGAAATAAAGTAAGTCTAGATGATGTAATATTGCGGCATTTAGGTAAGACAGAAAATATGATACAAATATGTACAAATTTTTCTAAAACATTTACTGAAGAAATTAATGGAATAAAGCATAAATGTAAAATTAAATTTTTAAATAGAAGACAATATGTGAATCCGAGTGTGGTGAGTTTTAGATATATGATGGTGTGCTCTTTAGATGTAGAAAAGGTTATTAATAATTTATCATGTGAAAAAGCCCCCGGATTAGATGGAATTAGGATAAAAGACATAAAATATATACGGAAACAATTAAGTCCTGTTATAGCAAATTTTATGAATATGTGTATGTTGAAAAGTATTTATCCCGATCAGTTACAACATGCTATTATACGCCCTATATATAAGTCAGGAAACCACTTAGAATATGTTAATTATAGACATATAGCCATATTATCTATTATTGATAAAATTTTTGAAAAAAATATTGTAAGCCAAATTTCTAAATTCTTGGAATGTCATAATATTTTGTCAGACGCTCAGCACGGTTTCTGCCCGGGGCGTAGTACAGCTTCAGCACTAACGGAATTTGCCGATTACATAAACAAGTCTTTGTACGCTGGTAAACAAATTATAACACTTTTTATAGATTACAAAAAGGCGTTTGACACCCATTTTTTTAACATGGGGAAATGCCTACGCATACCCGCCTCGCGGGGGCAAGGACGGGTTATGTCGGACTCGCACCGACTAAAACCCCATGGTGTTCCACCTTCGTCGCATATTGGCAGGGCTACGGGAACGCTTTCGCACACTCCGCGGCCCTACCAGCGACTGCCGCCCCATGGCAGCACCCCCCCCGGGAGAGGAATATTCCTCCCCGTTCTCCTTCCCAAGTAAGGCGCACCAGAACACATGGCACGCCTTCCTCCACGGCCTCCAATTACATCTGCGCAACAGACGCCCTCGCGTCCGATGCGCGAAGGCCATGAGGCCAGGAAAAACGAGCACTTAGAAGTACTAGCCTTCCCGACCCCAGCGGCGGATCTGGTCTATGGTTCCGCCGCCAACCAAGATTCGGCTGCGGAGGATAGGGAGAGCGGCGCCTCGCAATACCGACAATACTCTCCCCCCGCAGCCCCATCACCACCGCATCAACGGTGCGGCCCCGTTTGAGTCGCGGAGGATAGGGCGAGTGGCGCATCGCCATACCAACACTCCTCTTCCTCCGCGACTCCACCGCGACTCCACTCGGCTGCAGCGGTAGAGGGTGCGGAGTCCCCACTCGCTGCAGTCCACCAGCACACATCCGAAGTGGGCTCCCCAAGCCCACTCGGAGTGGCCACCTCAGGCCGGCCCTTCACCTCGGGCCAGCCACGTGGGTTCCTCTTTGTTCACCGTGGGAGACCAAGCCACGGCTACTAAGCCCCCCCGCCACGACAAGGCGGGAACCCGTTCGGGGGGGGGGGGTTTGACACCCTGGATCATGACATTCTGCTACAGGCGATGGATCAATGTGGAATACGAGGCCCTACGAATAAATGGTTTCGGAACTACCTGCGTAATAGGTAAATGCGTACGATGATAGCTGGTGTGACTGGTGAGGATATGCATGTGGATCTGGGGGTGCCGACTGGATTGTCTGTGTGTGAGTATTTGGTCCATTAATTTATGTGATGCATGTGAATAGTGTGTCAAATGTCGTAAACGAGTGCCGCGTTTTTATGTATGCCGATGATATGTGTATTGTTTATGCTTCCAAGGATATATCTGAGATACAAAGCTATGTAAAGTTTTTTAAAAGTATAACTAAGTGGGCACACGATAATGGAATTATATTGAATATGTCGAAAACCAAGTGCATGCATATACACTCGCCATACAATCGACAAGTTAAAATCATTAATAAAGAACAGATACATATAATTGGCCACTCATATGAATGCCTACATGCTAATAAAATCGACTGCAGATGTGATAAATTAGATTATGTCAATACATTTAAATATTTAGGCTTAATTATTGATCAAAATTTTAGCTGGAAAACGCATGTTAATGACATATGTAATAAATTAAGATCCATGGTATGTAAGTTTTATCAAGTATTTGGTCCATTAATTTATGTGATGCATGTGAATAGTGTGTCAAATGTCGTAAACGAGTGCCGCGTTTTTATGTATGCCGATGATATGTGTATTGTTTATGCTTCCAAGGATATATCTGAGATACAAAGCTATGTAAAGTTTTTTAAAAGTATAACTAAGTGGGCACACGATAATGGAATTATATTGAATATGTCGAAAACCAAGTGCATGCATATACACTCGCCATACAATCGACAAGTTAAAATCATTAATAAAGAACAGATACATATAATTGGCCACTCATATGAATGCCTACATGCTAATAAAATCGACTGCAGATGTGATAAATTAGATTATGTCAATACATTTAAATATTTAGGCTTAATTATTGATCAAAATTTTAGCTGGAAAACGCATGTTAATGACATATGTAATAAATTAAGATCCATGGTATGTAAGTTTTATCAATTAAATGCAGTTGTAGACAAGCACACGTTACGCATTGTGTATTATCGGTTTGCTGACTCACTGATTAGCTATGGACTCATTGTATATGGGCGGACGTTTTGCACCTATTTAAAAAATATTTAAAATTTACAAATAAGGCTGATTAAGTACCTAGTGACCAAAAAAGTTAAAGATAATTGTGCCCAGGACTATAATAACTTATTTCCAATTTGTAAAATACTGCCTGTAGACAAAAAAATCGAATACTTAATATCGATTATGATTAAGACGAGGACAAAAAACTTGCAACACCAAATAAAAAAAGGAAAAAGGCTGCTCCTGTCACAAACATTGACAACTTTGACGCCGCTGCGATTCGTAACCATGTATATGGTTACTATACACGGGGCGAATTGCCTACATTGAAAAAACCTGCCGCGTCCCTCAAAGACGCAGACTTGTTTAAAGGAAGCTTGCCATCTCTAACGAAGATATTGAAAAATATTGGTTTTTCCTATTAAAAAAAAGTGACAAAAGAAAAATTATTATGGAAAGAACCGACATTGCTCTTGCTCGAGTGAATTTTCTCCGAAAAGTCAAAAAAATCACAAATTGGGACAAAGTAGTGTTTCTAGACGAGACATGGCTAAACGCCAATCATACCTTATCCAAAGCTTGGACCGATGATACTGCACAATCAACCACCAAAGTACCCGAAGGCAAAGGTCAAAGATTAATCATAACTGATGCTGGGACGTCATCTGGTTTTGTGCCTAATTGCCTATTGGCATTCAAATCAACTAAAACTACTAAATAATACTGGGTGTATCATGCTCTCGCCGATAGCAGACGTATCATTTAAGGCTCCGTACCTAAATATTCGTTTTTGTTAAGATCTTTGAGTTAGTAAGCGTTTAATCAATATAATTCAGTTATCATTACTATAAGTGATCTAATAACACTAATAAACAAAAGATATACAGTATTTAAGTGCTTAAATAATTACTTTTCTATCTACAAAACAGTGCAGTGGGTGTAAATTAGTTGGTGAATCATCAGTCCTCAAGGGGCTATGATTGGTCTAATAACCAACTAGCGAGGATTACCTTATATGGCAATATGAGTTGCATGATCGACGCCTAACACTATTGTTGGATCGCTTGACAAATTTCATAGTCTAAACTTAAATCTCCGTAGTACAACGGGTAAGGTTTACAAAGACCGCTTCACCGGACTCGGAATCGAATCCAACATACACAATTGATTTTCAATATCTTTTCAACACAAATTTTTAAAATTCGGAATTTTTGATTTGAAATATTTCATTAAAAATTATAAATTGTGTAAACATAATCAGAATGGCAGACTCAAATAAATGTAATGCATATTTGAGTGAAATAGCAAACATTCCCTCAATATATTGCACACGATGTAAGGCGGGTTATCATCATTCCTGCATGAACTATACATTAACTGAGTATAAGGCGCTATCAGTTGAGTTTAAATCTAAGTGGATCTGCGCGCAATGTCAAAGTAGAGAACGCAAAGGAGGCGATAATTCAAACACTCCGGTTCATAACAAAACTGGCAACGCCCCGATATCACCTCAGCTGGAGTTTGTTACGAAGCGAACGAAGTCACGCAGAGGCAGCAATTGTTCTTGGTTAACGGCAAACAACATACGAGATATAATACGGGAAGAACTACAATTTCATTTCACTCACAAAATCTACCCCGAAATACAGGAGGTACGCATTGCGATGTCTTCTCTCGAAGCGTCGGTAGCTCACTTCAATGTAGAACTTGAGAAAGTGAAGGCTGATTGTGTGGAGCAGGCGAAAATAATTAATGTTTTAAAATCAGAGACTGAGCTACTGAAAACTACCAATGAAACGCTTTCATCTCGCCTGTCCCAATTGGACCAGCATACGCGTTCATCTAACGTGGAAATTCAATGCGTCCCTGAGAATAAACAGGAAAATTTGGTAAATATCGTAATGCAGCTAGGAAAAGAAATCAAGTGCCCAATCAACGACACACAAATTCATTATTGCTCGCGACTAGCTAAGATGAATAATTCTAGTCCTCGCCCTCGCTCGATACTAGTCAAATTCAACAGCCCGCGACTACGCGAAATGTAAGAGGCTTAAAAACCAAAACAATTGAGCTATTTAGTAAGGTTGTGTGCAGCAATTACGATGTTATAGTTTTTACAGATACATGGCTAAATAGTAGTGTTTCGGACACGGAATTATTTGACGATCGTTATATAGTTTACAGACGAGACAGGGAAAGTAGTGGATTTCACAGTAAAAAACTGGGGGGTGGAGTTTTATTAGCTGTCTCTAAGCGTTTTATATCCTACCGAATGTATGATTGTCAGTCGGACTGTGAGGATATCTGGATTAAAATCGAAATACTCGATAAGAAGGGTGTAATTGATTATTTGTATATACATATATGGAGTTTATATTCCTCCCCCTGTACAGAAGCATATTTTGGAACACTTTGTTACAAACACCAATTGTATGTCACAAAAGCTCAGTTCTAATACTATTGTTCTTTGTGATTTTAATTTGAGCAGTCTTTGTTGGAACAAGACGCCTACTCTTGTACTAACGCCTATAACTACAAATAGTTTGTTAAACAATATGATAGTGGATTTCATGTCATTGAATAATTTATTACAATACAATTCATGCCTAAACATAAAAAATCGAATTCTGGACCTAATAATGAGCTCTTTGACAATCTCATACGTTTGTGAAAGTGCTGACCCTTTATCCAAAATTAACCCGCTGCATCCTCCCATCGAATTCTGTGTTGAAATCGACCATAAAGAAAATTTAAAGTCCCAAGATGTAGCCAGATACCGCTTCCACAAAGCAGACTATGAAAAGATAATAAGCGAACTAAACAACATCCAATGGGTAAAAGAATTATCTAACTGTACTAGCGTTGACGACATGGTGACATATTTCTATAAAATCCTTGGGCTCCTCATAATCAAACATGTTCCAAAATACAAACCGCGCTCTGGTAAATATCCAATGTGGTTTTCCACTGCATTAGTTAGGGTAATCAACGAGAAACTGAAATATCGAAATAAATACCGCAAATATGGCAACCCCCGAGATTTAATTACCTTTGAAGTACTAAGGGATAGATGTACAAAACTTCACAGCATAAGCTACAAATTATACATAAAGCACCTAGAGTCATCGCTGTCTTCTAACCCTAAACTTATGTGGAGCTTTATTAAACATAAAAGAGGTGGGACCAATTCTTACCCTGCACAAATGTCTTTCGGCACAAAGGTCGCTTCATCGGGGACAGGCATTTGCGATCTATTTGCATCTCAGTTTTCCTCGGCTTACAACACTGAAAACTTACCCACCCCAGGGCAATCTCATTTGCCACTAGGTGCTAATTACTTAACTACAATATCGGTAACTATAGACCAAGTTTTCAGAGTTTTAAAAAGACTTGACCCTACTAAGGGTTCCAGCTCCGATGGAATACCTTCTATTTTTGCCATAAGATGTGCTGGGCACTTGCACTGCCACTTAGTATTATTATTAATAGCTCCTTGAATTCTGGCATATTCCCAACAGATTGGAAAAGTGCTCTTGTAATACCTTTATTCAAGACAGGTGACACGAGTGCAGTAAAAAATTATAGGCCTATATCTATACTTCCAACATTTGCGAAAGTTTTTGAATCCCTTTTGTGCCCAATAATTTCATGTCACTTGAAACAGGTTATCGCACCCCAACAG